AAAATCTCCTAAGCTAGTTCTAAGGAGCTATATATATTTGACATATTTTGTCAATATAAATTATGTATTTCTCTATATTGGGCAGAATGTCTGAAAAGAAGTTAAATATCTGAAAAGAAGTTAAATTACATGTGTATTATAAAAAGCTGTCGGATGCCACTAGCAGTGTGTTATATTATATCCTTTGTCTTCACACAAACCCTAGGAGGTGGGTGTGGTTAGTCCTCTTTTACAGAGAGCACACTGAGGTTCAGAGACATGAATGCTCATGTCGAAAGCCACACCGTAAATGGTAGAAATGGGCTCTAACTTGAGTCCACCCAACTCCAGAGGAGGTTCGACAGAACGAGTTACAACTGAGACAAGGAAAGCTAAGCACTACAAACAAACTCCAGTTTTAAAAAATCAGCCAAGAATTGAGACCAGAGTCTTGGATGAGGTAGCCCCGTATAATAAGTTATTTCTGTTTCAAATTCTCTTGTGATCATTCTGTACACGTATGTATACACATATGTGGTAATTTTATATACATGTTATAGACGGCAATCAGTCTTCTACAGCTGTTATGTCTACCGAGTAAATAATGTCTTGTGTAACCTATGATTTTTCTAAATGGAAAGACCTACACTTCAAGATGGTTGAAATTAAGATGCAAGTTTTATGTTTAAAATCAATCTTAAGGCTGCCATCATAAACTTTTTACCCCTTTTATCATCTCTCATTTAAAAGTTTTTTTAAAAAGCATTAATTTTAAATTCCTTGCTCTTGATTTGAGCTAGGTCCTTCAATTTCTGGTATAAATGTTGAAAGCATTCTGAAGATTTAACTGTGAAAAGCAAAATGACCCTCACAATCAACTCCCTACATAAAACTTTGTAATTTTGTTTCAAAGTGATTCTGTCGTGGTGCTGCAGGGTTACAGTTAATATCCGAAAATACCTAATATCTTGGACAGGACTGTTTTTCTAGGGTTTTATTCTTCCATTTTTCACTGATAAATGATTGTATCCAGAAGAACAGAGGGTAAGGGAGAGCAATGGAAATCAATGCACGAAATCATACTGACCTGGTGGATTGCTGTAATTTTCAGGAAGAGAGTTAGTGATTTCTAATTCTTTGTCATCTTTCACTTACCCAACTCCTTAAAAGCACTTGACTCACAATAACATTCATGTTTTCAATTAAAAAATTTTTTCAGAAGGCAAAGAACTTTCTGTGTAAGCATTTTGGAATGAATGGGCTGAATGAAAATTGCTGATCTCCGGTTCTGAAAAAACAAGAGAGAGGGAGAGGGTGGCAGGAGGGAGATGTCCTCTAGGCTCTCCCATCTAAGCAGGGAGAAGAGGAGGATTCAGGTTGAGTGATGAGGACTGTGTTCTCATTTGTAGGCATGATTTATTCCTCCTTGCAATATTCAGGCTGCTCCTTTTAAAAATGCAAAGGGCTGTAAAAGTTGAGCACAAAGGGCATACCTTCCCCCGTGGCCAGGTTTAGACTCACTCCCAGCTCCCAGGCCTTTCTCTGGGCAGCCCTCAGGAGGCCACATACGTCCCTGGGTTTTTAAAGCTACTGCCACCACCCACTCCGTGCTTCGCCATTCCTCCATTCCAGGTTACATGGCTTCCTCGGAGGACTTGATTTTTCTCCTGCTCAAGAAGCAAGGGAAATAAGCAAAATGGGGACGTGATCACATTTTTAAAAATTCTAGAAAGTTCACTTAGCCTTGACTGCTGATATATTTACTTAGCAGTAACTCAGCAAGTCCAGGAGGCTAGCAGGTGCCTGGGGTGCTCCTTTTCCATCCTAATGACTGACAGCGTCAGTCTGATTTCTCTATCTGCCCGTTGGAACCCTCTCCCAGATTCCAATGAGCTCCCTCACGCACACACTGCGAGTAGAGCTTTGCACTGAACAGTGTCATAAAATACACATTATGTATTTTAATGCTGCAATTCTGACTGACTGGAGGAAGGACAGGCTAAGTTAATGAGAAGTCTCAAGTGTAAGGTCCACTAAAAAGAAACAAACTTATTCCTTTTAAGCATTTAGGAAGCTTAAGCAAACGCCTGTTCATTAATTTAAACTGCTTTAATGAATCGCTGAGGATATGTGTGGTAAAGAGTCGTGAATAAAAGCCCACTGTGAATTTGCAGAAAACAGACAAAGACTGAGAGAAAAGGGGACTAAACATGAGAGCTATTATGAGGTCGGGGCCCAAGTGAGAAGAGAACGTAGTATTCCAAACTCCTTCCCATCCCAACTTTCAGCACCACTTAAACTTTTCTCCTGTGTCCAGTCCATTTGTGACTACCTGCCCTGACTTGCCCCACCAACTTCATTCTAACCTTCATGGTTTCCTCAGGAAATGCTTCTGAAGGAAATCTAAATCCCAACCTGTAACAAAACAAGGAGAAAATATCGGTCATAGAATTCATAAACTGTGCAATCTTGAAAATATGAGCACAAGGTAAATTTAATAGATGAGCTAATTCATTAATTAAGCACCTAAAAATGTAATCAGAAGTGGAAAGCTAGCTTGAAGGTGAGTGTTGCGGAGTAAATATGCTAAACCAAAACGCATTTGTCTTAATGGTCTTCTCTCTCACCGCTTTGGATGTTGATATTATTGTTAAATTTTAACTTTCTAGCAGCAGCAATGATAGGAGTTGCTTAGTTTCCAGGCTCTTAAACCGACACAAAGAGCTGGTTAATTTCTTCTTCCTATACACAGGGCAGGGATACAGCATTCCCCCGGAACCATCATGAACCCACACTAGAGGTTTAGATGAAGAAAATGTGCAGCAACAAACTATTTTTCTATCTCTAAGTCTTCTTTATTCCAACAGACTTTAAAATATTTCACCTTATAGGTTCTGATGTCATGACAGTAAGGAAAGTACACTTAAACGAAGTATTTGAACTTTTTTACTTTGTCAACTAAATTTCTCCAGTTTTTACCAAAATTGAAAAGGTCTGAGGTTGCTTCTAACGATGTTATAATTTTGGAAAGACTAAGTACCATTCACTAAGTGAAAAATTCATTTCATTTATTAAAGTGCCCATTTACTTGCATCATGATAATCACCACATAGAAAAGAAGGAAAAGTTAGACAACCTTGTACAAGAGAAGCAAGCACTCTCCATCTCTCTGTTTAAAAAAGGCTGTCAGGAATGTTGCAGAGGGACTCCCACATTGGGTAAGGATGGACTAGTTTTAGGGATTGACCAACTATAGCCAATGGCCAAATCTAGCCCACAGCCTGGTTTTTGTAGCCCTAGAGCTTAGGATGGTTTTTATATTTTGAAATGGTAGGGAAAAAAATCCTAAGAATATTTTGTGACGTGAAAATTGTACGAAATTCTAATTTCACTGTCCATCAGAAAGGTTTTCGTGGACCACAGCCCTGCTCATTTGTTGATGTATGCTCTATGGCTGCTTCTGTGCCGCAATGGCAAGGATGAATAGTTGATAGAGACCACATGGCCTGCAAAGTCTAAAATATTTGCTCTCTGGCTCTTTACCAAAAGAAAAAGTTTGCCAATCCCTAGACTGGGTGATCTCTAAGGTCCCCTTCACCTCCACGTTTCCAGGAATTTTTCTCCCTTAGATAAGCCAGAATCCTCCATCAAAGACAATGTACAGAACGCACATTTGCCTGATAATATAATTATCTCCAAAAAACTGTTTCTTTTGTGTTGTCAACACTTCCCATGGAATATGTAAAATAATACTCACTGACTCATAGAACATGCATACAAACTTCCCAGATATTAATTACTTTTAAAGCTAGGCTCTTCATTCTAGAAAGCAGTATTTCTAATTTTTTGCAATTTTATTCTATTAACAGATTTAACAGACCATCTGAAAAATTACCAACCAGAATGAAAATTAAAAAAAACCAACTGCCCTAGGAATTTATACCATAAAATATTTATTAATAAGTAAAATGATTCTCCCCTGCCTTTGGTTATTAAAAAAATTTGATTGCGTATCTTTGTTGATACCAATTGCCAACAATGGTTTTACATTATTCAGTCATGAGAGAGAGAGAGAGAGAAACAGTGTAGATAGATAGATGACAAATAGACAGATGATAGATAAACTATAGATATGGATATAAATGTGTAAAAGATCACACCTTACAACGGTTTATTTAATTACAAATCTTGGTTTTGCTAGCAGTTGGAAATTTACTTGCACATACTTAAACTTATTTCCTATAAGTAAACAATATACAAATAAATTCACTTGAATTTCCTAATTCAGAACATTGGTAATGAATACAGTGCTTGTTGAGGACTAAAAGAGAGGAAAACAAGAACTTTGTGGGGGAAGAAAGGCAATATCTCTTTGAAAAGCTTTTCTCTTAATAGCTCTTATTGCCTGAAAAATAAGCCATTTTGATAACGAGAGTATAAAAAGCCTTATGATTTACAAAGTAAATCATATCTGTGGTTTAAATTTCATCCCAAGTCTCAGATTATGGCTGAGAAGCTATACTAAGTATCTTTATAAAGCATTTCTTTGAATTTTTATAGGGAAAACAAAATGTTGGATCAGATCTAGGCAGAAATGCTGATCTTCATTTATAACGACAGTAATTACCTGCACTCAGTCCTATACAGGCATGGGGATCCAAAAAGCAAAGAGAACGAGATGCCAAGCCATATCACACGGCAAAACTCAAAGTAACCTGGAGAAGTAGCAGGTGACAGTTTACGATTTCAATATAAAAAACACCTAATGACTTCTCAGATGTCACTGAAAAGTCGGAAAATTAGATGATACAATCAAGAAGGAGATGAATGATTTTATTACTACACCACCCACTACTGCAAGATTATCCCAGAGTTCTGAGATGTCATTAGTTAAGTAACTATATAATTTCTTTCAGTCTCTTTTTAATGTAGAAAATCACTGTAGTAAGATCTCTACACAAGGTAAAAAAGCACATAGACCAAAAAAATCACAAAAGTAGACAAAATATATATATCTTTTAACAATGAAATTAAGATGTGCCTGTGAAACACTGAGATCAGTGACCAATCTCACAGAGTTCAAATTGGATTTCCTTTCATAATTGTGTTCTTTATGTCTTCCCCTTGGATGCTTATAAAAAACTTACCCAGGTAAAAGGGAGGGAACAGGTATTCTGATCTGGTACAGTAAAAAGCAAAAAAGAAATAATAATAATAATGATAGAATAAAAACCCTTAATCTATCCTTTTACAAAATTCTTCTGACAGCCATACCTCAAGGGCACTTAAGGGCTCAAGCATTTGTCACACAACCATTGGCAACAATGCAGGCATCTCCAGGTGATGCGCTTTTCCATCATAAATCAATCATGCACTGGGGTGAAACATATCCAGAAACGCTAATTCAGAGAGAGACGTTTTCATACAGCTGGGGGGCAAATGAAGCCATCCAAAAGAACCGTGCCATAAACATCACCGACATGCGAGGACTTCCACTTGGGAATCCTTCCCAAGGCCACAGCTCTCCAGTCTTCCTCCATCTCGTACAGGAACCCGCCGCATCTCACATTACACGGTCACGGCCGGGTACATCTTCTGTTCGCTGCTTGTGTGGGGGAAGGGGGCCTGGATCTGCCTGTAGCCCGTCTGCAGGCCATCCATGAAAGGTGGCACAGGAGTCATGGGCACAGAGTCGTGCTGCACCGCGTACCCCACATATGGGGGGTGCAGGTACTGCCCTTGATGTGGCACAATCTGGGTGGCCTGCTGACAGTTCAGCACAGAGAAATTCGTAGGCATGTTGACATACACGTTGTTCATGGTCCCCTCGGGCAAGCAACAGTTGGTCTGTGACCTCGTTGGGGGCGCGCGGGCCCCTGAGTTGGCACTGGAGCTGGAGCTGGCCGCTGTGCTGGACTGGCGGGAGGACGACCCTCGGGAAGTACTGGCGCTGGGGATCATGGGGATGGTCTCCATCAAGCGGTTCCCTCCCGGGGCCCGGCTCTGCTGGGGCTCCTGCTTAGGCCGCAGACATCTGCAGCAACAGGCTGCCACGAGGGATCCCAAGATGATGAAGGCGACAAACACGGACCCGACGATGAGGAATGGCACGTAGATGGGGACTGAAGGATAAAAACAGAACATTATGATTGCCTGTAAGAATGCAGTCAACGTTGGTGACTGGCAGTGGAGATGCATAAGTGAGCACCACTGACACCCAGAATTGCAGGACCCAGGCCGGGCGGGTTTGTGTGCACTGCACTTTATCAAGTGCTCAGGAAAGGCGGTAGGGCCCTACAGGCACGACGGACCAGGCCCCCCAAAGCAAAACTGTTCATATTTACAGCTAGACTCACCAGCTGCAACACTGATTGAGGCAAATATCCAATTTAGCAAAAATATGAGTTTAATGTTTTAAGACTGTTCTAAAATTCCTGCAAGAACTGAACTACCCCAACTTAAGTCTGCCTCAACAGATAGTTGCAGGATCTGCGTAGAAATGAGTTTAAATTATTTAAAGGACCTTTTTTCCCCAGAAAGTTATTTACATTCCTTGCAAACTTCTTTTACCATTTTCTGGCAAGTTCTTTTTTCATAGGCAAATAAATCAAAAATTTAGGTCAGACTCTAGCCACGACCATTTCCAAAGAGTCTGTAAGACACAGAGGTCAAAGAAGGGTGAAAAAACTCCACCCATCCTTGTCTAGCTGAAGGCTGGTCCTGGGGCGGTGGGGCCTAGCATGTGGCCCTGGATGGTGGGAAGTTATTCCAGGAAGCAGGTCACAATGAAATAATACCAAGGAGAACAAATGTTGGGAGCAACAAGACATTTGTTCCAGGAAGAAGAGAGCCCACAATGAGCCAAGAAAGCACCGAGGAAGGCCCAGGGTGGCTGAGACGGAGCAGCTACGCCCAGAGTTACGACACTGGAGTCTGTGTGAAGAACTGTGGGGAGCTATGCAGAAGCATAAAGCAATGGGCGTCATATTTAACAAGTGTAGTTTATTCTGAAAAATAAACACTTTACTGAAATTAGTAGCCAGCTCCATTTTTAAATTACTTTACTTAAAAAAAAGCCACTTCTGTGGAATTCCACCCTGCATTACCAAGAACCTAGGGTTTCTGGATGTCTTCCTGCCCATCTCCTTGACTATGTGATTGGAAAACACATGAGGACAGGGACTAGCTCTCACTGGTCTTGGCAGAGCAGGCGGTGGGGCAGGGCAGCACTCGGAGGGAGCCCAGTTCTCCCGCACCTCCGAGATCTGGTACATGGAACAGCTTCCAACTGTCCGCGAGAGCAGCAGCCCTCCTGATGATGCTCCTTTGACTGCTCTGGAATTCCTGGAGTCAGTGTGTTTAGAACACAGTACCACATGGAGTCATGGAGAAATAACGCCTTATGAGTAAAACAAACTTTCTCAGTATGTAACCAAAGGCTGACATTTGAAGGTTTCCTGACCCGTTAGCGCTGAACAGAGTCAAGACTGTGCTGACACAGTGCCCCTTTAGCCGGCAGAAACACTTGCCCCAGAGGCTGCAGCACAGCTGGTTTTCTGACAGTAGGACTGTTCTATCACACGCTCTCCTCAGGCCAACAACCATAGCAGAGTGCGGCAGGGGATGCTGGGCTTCTCCTATGCATGCTATAAATATTTCATTCTCTAAATTACCATCCCAGCCCTGAATATGTTATCGAGGAGTAAACAACAGTAAAAAAATACTCCAAACATTAGAGCAAAAACCAGCTGACAGCAGTCCAAGTCCACATAACAAGTTTTTGGGAGGAATAACTGTTCTCTCTCCAGGATTTCTAACTGGAAGTGTGGATACCTGCACGAAGTCCAGAACTCCTCCAAGCCCTGGCACTGCCCAATGAGGCAAAGCAGTGGCAGGAACAGAATCTTTAGGAAAAAAGATTTACAAGTCAAGTGAAGAAGGCACCCATACATATCACAGGGTGTCATGAGAAGTCGGCTGCCTACTGATTGGTCCAAAGTCAGCCCAACTTTTTTTTTTTTTTTTTTAAAGATTTTATTTATTCAGTTTTTTCCCCCCAAAGCCCCAGTAGATAGTTGTACGTCATAGGTTCACATCCCTCTAGCTGCTGTACGTGGGACCCGGCCTCGCGTTGGACGGAGAAGTGGTGCCTCGGGGCGCCCCCGGGATCCGAACCCGGGCCGCCAGCATCAGAGCGCGCGCACTTAACCGCTAAGCCACGGAGCCGGCCCCCAACTTTTTAGAGACCATGAACATGCACAACTCTGCACACACCAAGGCATCGGTTTGCCTTCGGCTCATTTCTCAAGGCTTTATTCCATGGCCACACACCCTGCAAAGCTGGGCTCGCATTTTAAGACGGCCCCTTTCCTGGAATTACCCTCAGCTCTCCAGTCTGCAGATTCAAGAACAATAGAAGGAGCTTTGCTAAGAAAATGCCTGACTGCAAAGGAAGGGCACTAAGAAGAGCTGCCTCTTACCAGGCCCTGAGACAGCACTGTACACTCGGTGCCAAAGCTCAGGGAGGCCCAGCCCCGGGCTCAGGGTGCTGGTTAAGTCCTCTCCTCGACATAACTAGCTGCAGAAAAGAGGAGACACCCCCTCTGGGACTACGTGTTTGCCATTTGACCTCTACCCCTACACGGGAGCTAAATCTTCCCTCCCAAACACACACACACACATCGGTGTAGAGCCTAGAAGGAGGCAGTCTCGGAGGTGTGTGAAGAGTGGGGAAAGTGGAACCCATCAAATTCTTTTCCAGATTTGTTTATTTTTCTAACTCCGGCTTTGGCAATTTGAAAAAATGTAATAAAAAATATTAAAGCCACAAAGAGCAAGGTTGCGCAGGGCTCTGTCGTCACACCTACCAAGTCTACCGTAGTAAGGAGACTGTCCGGACACCAGAGCGGCCCGGCCTGTGGCAGAGGACGGTGCAGCCCGCGTTCAGCAGGATTAGAATCCCCGGAGTCTGGTAAAGTGCATCACCCGCGAGAAAGCCCTGAGGAGCTGCCTTCCTTTTGAGGAGCTGCCTTCCTTCTGAGGAGCCTTCACGGCAGGGCAACTGCCAGCCCTCTTGTGAGGGAGCCCCTCACCGTTTCCTTGGGTGCCCCCAAGACAGTAGCCCTTACTACAAGTTAGACCTATGGAGAGAGGAGACATGAGAGGGAGCGCAGAAGTCCTTAGACAAGAGGAATGTGGAGCTGTCTGCGGCCCACACTGGCTTAGACGCCTGGTTTTCTTCGGAAAAGCCAAGCCAAGCCACTCTTCAGCTGACAAATGGGGAAACTGAGGCCCAGGGTGGTGAATGGATGCCCCACCTCACACAAATTAATGGCTAGGCCAGAATGCAGGCACCACCTCCTGGTCCCAGATCCTTTTCTGAAATTTCAGTGCTCCTAATTCTTTCCCCTCCCCTGTCCGTGCCCTCGAAACAGAGCCAACCTTCCCCCCGTCTCGCGCTGGGCCCGGCGCGCCCTACCTGCCGAGCCGTCTGGGCCGTCTTTGTCCGCCCGGCCAGGCTCGCCGGCGCCCTGCTGGCGGTCGTTGTCGCAGCCGCCCTGGTCCAGGCGCGCCTCAGCGCTGGAGCAGCAGTAGCGCAACGCGCAGCTGCCGCAGCAGATGGTGGCGTCGCCGCCGTCGAAGCGCTCGGGGCACTGGAAGCCGATGCGCCAGACGCCCTGCGCGTCCAGCCAGCCGTGGCAGTACTCGCCGCTGGCCAGCGCCCCCGCCGCCAGCAGCGCGGCCAGCAGCAGCTGCAGGAGGGAAGCGGCGTTCCGAGAGGAGGCGGCGGACGAGCGGCGTCCGCCCCACATGGCACCACCCTGGGCGCGGGCGGCGCGTCTCCAGAAGGCGCAGAGCGGTCCCCGGGAAGTCGGGGCCGGGGAGCCCCCGGTCCCAGTGGTGCCGAAGCCGGGACCTCTTCGCTGAGTGTTCCTTCCGCGGCACTTTCCGCGCGGTCCTCTGCCGCGACGTCCGGGAGCCGACGACGCCGGGCTGCGGGGCCAGGGGCTCCTAAGCCATCCCCTCCTTCAGCCGGGTGGCCTGGTTCCAGTAGGGGCTGAGAGTGGGCACTCGATGATGGAACTCTTCGGGTGCAGAGTCAGAGGGCCCCCGGGGCTGCCGTCCTGCAGCCCCTGGAGGCTTCAGCCGCGACAGTACCTTCCCCGTGCATCCCCGAGGGGACGCTCACTCCAGTCGGACGACCGCTGAGCACGTCGCGGCGGACCTGCAGCCAGGTGGCTGCCGCAGAGTTTCAGCCTCGGGGTCCCTCCTCTCCTTTATTCCCCTCTCGGGCGGCGAGAAGTGGCCAAGAAGGCGGGCAGCGCGCGCAGAGCTCCGGGCAGCAAGTGCAGGGGCCGGCCGCGATCAGCCTCCTCAGCTCCGAACTCGGTCCGCATGGCTCCGGCCCCGCCTCCCGAGCAGTCCTCCTGGGTGCAGCCCCAATGCTCCCCTCCGCGGGACCGACGGGCAATCCTCCCAGCGCACGCTGCCGTCCAGGGCGCGGGCGAGGGTCCGGCGCGCCCCCGCCGCGGTCCCGGGAGCCTGCCCGGCTGGAGGCGGCCGCGACCGCGGCTGCTGTTGGGCGCCGGTCCAGGTGGGCGGCTCGCCCCCGGCTCCCCTCCTCCGCCCCTCCGGCTGCAGCTCGCTCCCACGGGCGCCGGGCAGCCTCGGCCGGCTCTCCCTCTCCCGCTGGCCGCTGCGCCCCCGGGAGGTGCGCACCGAGGGGAGCCTCTCACGTAAGTTTCAGTCCTCCCGGCTACGGAAGAAGGCGAGCGCGGCAGCCGCCCGCACTCCCAGCGCGCTCGGCACCCAGCCAGCTCCGACTCGGCTCGCCGCGGCGCTGCGCTGCGCTCTTATTAGAGGCCGGCGGCTCCTCGGGCGCGCATGCGTGCTGCGCGGGCTTCCCTCCGCCCCTGGAAGCCCCAAGACGCCGCCAGCCCTTCACCTTCCGACTGCGGGGGAGAGAGCTGTGCAGCTGCGGACAGTGGGCTGCCGACTAGAATAGGTGAGGGAGAACACAGAACCTAAAGAATCTAGGCCTTGCTAAGACAATAATAACAATAATCAGAAAAGCAAATTAAACTTGCTTATTGAAGATCTTTGGCATTCAAAATTCGGCTTGATTCTCAATACTTCCCAAAAAAGGATTATAATTACTTTCCATTTTACAGACAATGAAGTTGCCACTCAGATTAACCGTCTCTCTCAGCATCTGACGTCCTGGCCACCCCCTGTCACAGGCCCAGCCGAGAAAGAACTCGGCTGTTTGTGGCAGGGTTCGCGCGCCTGGGGCTGCGTCTACGGGGATCCAGGCTTCTACAAGGAGAATGAGGAGAGTTCGGCAAAGACATCACGAATCTGGCCACTGTCTGGATGATTTGTGTCGTTTTTTTCCTTTCTATATTTGGGCGTGGCGATTTACTGGATTCGAGCAGAAAGGTGCCGCCGTTCACCATTTGGCCTTACTGGTGTAGACAGCTGCAGTCAGGAAGCAAACAAGGTTCAGACAGAGCAGAAACTCGGCTTTGATGAAGGAGAAATTAATAGCTTCTCTCTTGCGGAAGCCGGAACAACAGGTGCAGACGCTATTAAAGCAGCAGTGATTATTTTTAAAGGAACCAGTGACCCTTCCGATAGGGCCTGGGAGTCAGCCGACCTGAAGTCTAGGCCCAGCCCAGCCGGTGAAGAATCACTGCATTTTGCTGGCCTCAGTAGCTTCATCTTTAAAGTGGAGCATAGGATTGATGACCACTAAGGTCTCTTCCAAGTCCACGACTATAGACCACAAGGCGATTTTATTCACACCAAAGACACCGCTTTTTAAACACCCTTTGGGCACTTGTGTATGCCTGGTAAGTGGGCAGACTCAACATGGTGGATATCCTTCCGCTCACCCCAACAAGATCAAATCAAAGAAAAAAACCTACCCTACTCCCTGATCCGACACCTTATGCTTTTTGCTAAACCTCTCTCAAGCATTGCACTTTATTTCATCGCTGTTTTGTTGCTGTAATTTTTAGTTACATAAAATTATGTATTTTAAATGCACCAGTCACCAACTTTTCTTAATCTATTAAGTTAACAAAATTTTAATATCAAATTATTAATTCAACAAATCCATGCTAAGGACTTACAGTATGCTGTGTTCTGTGTTGGGGACTGGGGATTCACCAAGAAGCCAGATGTCATGGCCATTTCCTTCAAACAGAGCTCAAAGTCTCTGGGTTAAAACAGAAATTAGAAAGACAAAGAATTGAATAAGCAAAGATAATATGAGTATGATAAAAGCTATGACTGATGATGTTCAGGGTCAATTTAAGCACATAACCCAGGGGTAGGGACCGCAGACCAGGTCAGAGAAATCATCAGAGGAATGACACTTAAAACTAGACCAGAAGAGGCTGAGAGAAGACTCAGTTTTTCAGATTGAGTCTTTTTCTTAGAAGATACTATTAGCATTTTTATTATTATTATTATTTACGGCTTAATCTGTGCCAGGCACTGTGCTGAGAGTTTTACATACATAGTCTCATTTAATCATCACAGAACCCTATGAAGAAGACATAATTACTATTCTCATTTTACTAGTGAGGATAGCTTGCCCAGTCCACACAGACAGAAAGTGTCAGTTTGCCTGGACTGCAGCCAATTCTAGTGGACTCCAAGGCCCGCCCACCGCATTGCTAGTAGCCACAGTATCCACTATAGTTAGCCCAGGAGTAACTGTGAGCTCTATACCAGTCACCAGATGGTTAGGTATCATTATTTCCCTATGGCACCATAAATTGATTTGGGTGGTGTTCAGAGGGTTAACATTTTACTTTTCTTCCTTTGAAAAAAAATTAATGCAAGAGAATTGTACACTTCTTCAGATAGTACCTATACCATACCCTCCTTCCACTATCCATTTATCTGCTTCTCCAGAACACCCACAATTTTTCAGAGTTTATTTATGAAGAAAGAAATGTTGAACGTTTTCATATTGGAATTGATTTAGTGACCTGGTAGTGCCACAGTTTAAACACGATAAGTGTCTCCCAAATAGTTCACAATTTAGTCCACAGCTGGCAAACTTGGAAGTATGGAGCTTTGAGCAAATTCATCCTCTTTCCTATTGTTGTATTCCTTTATTCTTTAAAAGTTAAGAAGAGGCCTGTTTCATAGTTTCATCATGTGGTGGTTGATTGTCTTCAATGCTCAGAGACCCTTCATATCACTCTGTTCCTCCCTCTGACTTGTTTTTACTTCTTCTTTGTGTATCTAGTATGCTGTATTGAAATTTTATAAAATAAGTTGTCAAATATTTATCGAGCTTCCCTATGGGAGGTGCTACTGGGAGATATGAAAATGGTCTTGTTCTTTCCATAAGAAATAAAAAGAAATTCCTTCACCATCTTTAACAGACAGCCTAAACTATTTTACCAGTCTCTTTTGAGAAACTTTAACTAGTAATCATAACATATAAGTAGTAGTAATAATAATTTATTATAATCAAAACTAAATGTCAGGCAGTCTGCCAAAATACATTTAAACACATATGAGGGCCGGCCCCGTGGCTTAGCGGTTGAGTGCTCACACTCCGCTGCTGGCGGCCCGGGGTTCGGATCCCAGGCAAGCACCGACGCACTGCTTCTCCAGCCATGCTGAGGCTGTGTCCCACGTACAGCAACTAGAAGGATGTGCATCTATGACATACAACTACTGGGGCTTTGGGGGAAAATAAATAAATAAATAAAATTAAAAAAAACACATATGAAAGAGTACTCTCTTCCCTTTTAAAAGTTGAATTCTATAGACATTAACTGCAGAAGTATATTTTCAGGTTATTTCGCCTTTCAGTCTTTGCCTAAATATATGAATAAAATACAGGTGATTTAAAAACAAACTTTTGACATATCTTCAGTAGTACAAGTAGAAAGTCATATAACTAAAGAAATGATTACTTATAACTTTGCTAACTGGAGTTGATACACATCATATGGAGGTAGTCATATTTCATTTCGCTGGCAGTTCTAAAAGCTGCAAGATCTACAGTTTTTTTCTGCAAGTTTCAGCAAGAGCAGAAGGCTCTTACCATGTGTACACCAGTCAGCAGTCTGTTAGGAAGAATGGCTTTCACTGCGTTCATTCATTTTTTTCCTCCTCTTTTATAAGTAGGAGTAGTATTGAAAATTCACATTTGGTTTACCAGAAGTTCTTTTAAGCTCAAGTGTTTGTGTTAACAAATGAGACCTCAAACCCAAACAAATATGTTAATTTACATTTCTTTTAATTTTGTTTTGTGGTTACCTAACCTCATCTGAAAATAAAAATGGTCATAAAATTTTGAAAAAAATCTTTCTTGTTGCTTTAAAATTTTTCATTTTTCATCTTTCATCCTCCTATTTTTTACTTGTAATTAATATACTGACTTTCAGAAAAGTAATTTCCATATTTTAAATTCTTTTTCTTCTCATCCACCATTTAACATTTGACATACTTCTCTCCCTCCCCGATCCTCACACTTAACCAATCCCAGAGTTTTACTGAACCATTTTTAGGTTGATTTTGATGTTCACTATTGTTATATTTTCTTTTTGGAGATATAGAGTCAAAAACCATTCAGGACTTCTCCCAATAATGCCAGAATATCTGAAAGAGTGACATAAACAAAATCAGCATGACATCAAAAAGCCTACAGAAAATATTTGCAAATCATATATCTGATAAGAGTCCAGTATCCACAGCATATATACAACTCCACAACAAAAAGGCAAACAACTAAATTAAAACACAGGCAAAGGATTTGAATAGACATTTCTCCAAGGAAGATACACAACAACAAACATGCACATGAAAAGATACTCAACATCACTGGTTATTAGGCAAATGGAAACCAAAATCACAATTAGATACCACTTCATACCTACTTGGATGGCAATAATAATAATAAACAGAAAATAATAAGTGTTGGAGAAGATGTAAAGAAATTGTAACCCTTGCACATTGCTAGTAGGAATGTAAAATGGTACAACTGCTGTGCAAAACAGTTTGACAGTTCCTCTAGAAGTTAAAAGTAGAATTACCATATGACCCTGTAATTCCACTCTTAGGTATATATAACCAAAAGAGTTGAAAACATATATTCACACAAAAATTTGTACACAAATGTTCATAGCAGCAGTATTCATAATAGCCAAAAAGTAGAAACAACTCAATGTCCATCAACTGATGAACAGATAAACAAAATGTGATATAGCCATACAATTGGAATATTAGTTGGCC